ATAACAATAAGATAAAATTAACCATACTATGTGGCCCTTAAGAGAGATGGGGAAATAAAGAGAAGCAAAATAGGGGATAGTTTTGAAATACTTTAGGGTATAAAAAATGCCTTAGGGCAAATAATAGCGACTGGTTGATACTTAGAAAAAACAACAACTACAACAAAACAAACTCATTCAAGCTGGGCACAGTGGTCTATGCCTATAGCATTCACCTGCATGGGAGGTAGATGGCATAAAACCAGGAAAAGTTCTAGGCCAGCCTGGGCAATATACTGAGTGAGACCTTGTCTCCAGGAAAACAAATATGAAGAAGTAAGTGAAAATTTGTAGAGTTCAATGCAGACAAACCAAATATCCTGCATAAAAGCCAGCTCAACCATCTAAGGAAATAGATGGATTCAGTTGCTATTCAACAAATCGAAGAAAGGAATACATGCCCAAGAATTTTAACACATCCTAAGAAAATACACCAATTCAGCTTCTGCTGACTTGCTCAGTTACCTTCCAAAGCCTCGGATGACAAATCGTTTTTGCAAAGCTGTGAAAAGCCCAACAAGGAGCATGATTTGATTTTGGATAATTCCAGATCCTTTCTGCGATCAGTAGTGATTCTATTACTTCTACTTTGAGTGTGCTATGCTGACTTGTGAAGAAGCAAGATATTTACTAACAAGTTGAGGAGATAGGCACAATTTATGTGGAAAGCCACATCTCATCAACTGCTGGGACATGGGGGAAATGGAGGTATTGTATGAGCATCATTAGGTAATATACTGAATATAAAAAATGCAAATATCCTTCCCTTGATTATCTCAAAGTCTGTATATAGAATGCTATGTTCCAGGGAAAAATGAAAGTCTACCACACAAGCATTTGGTACATCCTTATCAAAATGGCCCAGTATTTTTGCCACAAAAGGATGAGTTTAACAGGACAATTTCACAGGTCAAAGTAAGCTCATTTCCCACACAAAGCTCATGGAACTGGCAGCAAGGAAATGTCAACTCAAATTCCTTTGTAATAGTCCCTGAAACTCTGTGCTAAGGGAGAGGAAAAGAAAAAAGAAAAAGAAAGTAAATTCATGGCAGTGGCAGAGTTGTCCACAGCTCAAGTGTAGAGTGCTAGCCTAGAGCAAAAAGCTAAGGGACACCATGAAGTCCTGAGTTCAAGCCCCAGTTCCAGAAAAAAAAAGAAAAGAAAAAATTAAAAGGTAATTGCTTTTTTTTTGTACCAAAATAGTTTCCCCCCCCAAAATGCTTTTTCCCTTTTTTTTGCTACATTTATTTTTTGTATGTTTGTAGTTTTAAGTTCTCTTAAACTCAAAATGGCCTTTAACTGTCTAACATCTCACTACATACTGACACTGAAATCTGCTCTGTGGGCCCCAACTGAATACCTACCACTGAGAATTTATTACTTGATTACCTTGTTTCCTCACTCTTTTGTTAGCAATTGCTACTGACAAACTTCACAGTTATATTGAATCTAGAAAGAAAAAGTTTTCCATGCATCAATTTCTGAAGTTGAAGGTAGCTATACATAAAAGGTTGTATACATCTGCTGATTGGGTTGGCACACTCAAAGGAAATGTGCCCAACTGATTGAAGTTGTCATGCAGTATTATAACTTCATCCAACGTAATAGGTTATTGTAGTTTGTTTAAAGACTAGGCTTGGGTAAATTTGTTACATGCAACTGTGCAATGATAATTAGGTGACTACAAACATTAGAAAGTAGGTCACTTCATATAAATGAAGTCAGTAGCTCATTTACACAAGGGTATGTACTCAATTAATTATGAATCAGGGTTAGGTCTTAGGTAAATTGCTTATGAATCTCTTCTAGTAAAGTTCTAAATATATATATACATATACATATATATATATATACACACACACATACAAGTATATTTTTTGTGCCACTCAGTACTGGGGCTTTAACTCAGGACCTGGGCACTATCCCAAAACTCTTGTGCTCAAGGCTAGCACTCTATCACAACTCCATTTCAGCTTTTTTGGTGGTTAATTGGAGATAGTCTCATGGACTTTCTTGCTTGGGGTTGGCTTCAAACCTAGATCCTCAGATCTCAGCCTCTTGAGTAGCTAGGATTAAAGGAGTGAGCCACAAGCACACAGCCACTGGCACCTAGCTTACATTTCTATTTATTTTAACAAATGAAATTACTTCATCCACATGCAGAATGAGTAATAAAGCAGTTGGAGTTATTTAAAATGTAAACATAATACAAAAACTTACCTACAACTATATATTTTCAGATACCATCACTTTGCACCATATAGCTCAATTAGGTTTAATTGACAAGGTGTAATTGGGCACTGTGTGGATGAATTAGAAACAAAATGTAGGTAAGGTTGACAAGCACCGGAAGCAGAAAAAAAAAAACCCTAATAGCATTAGAAATGGAATTTTGAGGAATTTGATATCTAATGGGACTGTAACAAGTTATTCTATAATTAGAATTTATAAGGTTATAAGACTCAACAAAATACAACTTGAGTACTATAAGAGGTAAGAGAATAGGTAACCATTACAGTAAGACCGATAGTATAGAAATAATGTTAGATGACAAGTCTTATGGGTGAAAATGTAATTTCAAACCAATTTATTTTCTTGCTTCATGAGAAACAGCATTTTTTAAAGCAGTGTATCCAGCATACAATCACAAATCCTACAGGACACTGAAAAACAAAACAAAACAAAAACAAAACCACAGGGCAGAGAATGAATGGGATGGTAAACTACTGAAATTCCAACAGAGTAGGAAGTGTGTGTTTCCCAAAGCTGGATTATTGATTGAAGCAGTCCACTCATCATGTTAATTACAGAAACAGAATGAAAACATTTTACTTGAAACCGGCACTTTCCCATACTTGTTTTGGTAAACTGCAACTAGCTTCACAAATTATAATGGCCCTATTAATCAATATTGGTGTATAATGTTTAGCCATTAAGAAAGTTAAAGTCAGAAACAAATTTGAACTTACTATATATCTATGATCATGATAATTTGCTATTAAAATATGTATTTCACAAAGGAATTATTCAGGATTTAAATTTTAAGGTTTACTATGATATAGATGATAATTCAGGGGAAAACAAAATCAACAATTGAATTGCACAGGCATTCATGCACTGGAAGAATGGAAAGATGGATGGACAAAGCCATGGTGGCAATTTCATCCATTAAATCTGGTAAGGAAACAATTTCTAGGGGGAGCTAAGGCCTAAAAATCTAAAAGGGTGAATTCCTGATGTGTAATACCAGTAAATATCTTATTGAAGCAGCTGAACAATCACTCATATACTTACATAAGAAGTGTAAGCTAAAAAAAAAAATACATTTTTAAATGGAAATCTAAGGCACACAAAGTCCTAAAACTCAACGAACACCCCATTTTACATATTCAAGAAGCAGAATTCTACTTGTATAAGATGATGATCTATTAATGGACATTTTGTTATTTACAATCCCTTCGTATTCCTTTACTTGAATTTTGTCCAAAGCTTTAAATAGATATTTTGCACCATATATTATTTCAATAAGTTACAAATGAATTTTTCTTTAGAGAGCTTGTTGGAGCTATTTGCTTTTGCACCAAAAAGGATGAGAGTTAGCCGTTGTGGGCTTCGTATGGCATTTCCAAAGGAAAAGCACCTTCAGGTTTTCCTATACTCCAGAGATTCTGATAGTTTGTGTTGTAGCACCTCTGCATTTTAAAAGAATCAAGTATTTCATGGAAGGTTCTTTGTATTCTAAAGATTGTTTGGGCAATCCTTTTTGTTTTTCAATAAACCAATGGGAATGTCTATTTTTCCTATTACCTAGAACATAGGCAATTGATTTGAGTTACCATTTCCTCAAAGGCAATAAGCGAAGGTCATTGAGTACATTGGCTTTTCGTGGACAAAGCCAGGTCTCTAATATCATTCCTGTCATTTAACTAGGGAGCATATGTTTTCAAAAGTTTCAGAATGAGTTCTGAAGAAACGAGGCAAATTGAATAGGTAGATTTCTGGATCCATTTTATCATTTAATCAACTTGAAACAGTAGAAGCATTTGACTCTCCATTTTGTCCTAACTCCTTCTGGAAACATCTTTCATGGGATATACTGAAAAGGCTGGGATGAAAATAATTTATTGGGGACACTGGTCCTCAATAAATCAGAAGATACCACTATTTTAGTATCCCAACACTCACTAATATTGGTGATCTCTAACTCCAATTTTGAGATTGACTATTTTGTATAAGTAGCTAAAATGTAATGTGAAAGAACACATTCAAAGAACATAAACCATATATATGCTTTCAATATATATGACAGTCAACAACATGGAACTCTACACAGCAATAAATGATTTCTTTTGTATGCAAATATGCACAAACAATAGACATTAGGATTCTTCTATACTATTTCAAGTTACTTTTAAAAATAGAAAGTGCTTTTAAAATATATATTTATATATTTACAGTTTATGAACAGCCTCCAACCATTACTAACAATAACAAATAAACTTATGCAGGAAAAAAGTTTAGAAAAGAAAGAAAGCTTTTCATTGGTTTATTCAAAGGAGCATGCCAGTTTTCTAGCAATGATTGGAAGATGTCAGAACAAATGGCACCATGAAATAATAATTCAGCTTATTTTTAACTGTGTTGATGTGGTTAAGCACCAGAGGCTGTGTAGAGTTAACACTGTGTCTTGATTTTACATCACAGAACAAGAACCTGTTAAAATCCTCTAAAAATGACTTGATTCATAGTAAACAGACTTAATTTAAAGCACCAAACTGAGTGACTCTATCAAGGTTAACACCTAACCAAAACATTTCTGAATGTATTTAAAACTATAAAAATTTTATTTTTACTTAAAATGTGCACCTTCTACTAATTTTCAAAAAATAGTCACAGTTAAATACCCACCCCATTCTTAAAATTTTTACCTCAGACTTGAAATGGGGTTGATGAAGATATAGTAAACCACAACATAACTTTCTTTAAACAGCACCTTGAAAAAATACACTGCACTACCAAAGGCATTATTTAAAAGGGGGTTGGAGATACCTTCAGACCCAACGGTTATAGGGCCCAGCCACCTGTGTGAGAGCGTAAGGGGAAACAGTGACAACGTTGTCATGGGTCAATGTTATTGTTTTATGAGAAGGAATTAGGCTCAATTCATTTACTTCACTTTCAGGGGACTGTTCAATACAGTTAGCTGCCAGGTCACTTGGATGAGAAATCTTCATTCTCTTATTCTTAGCTTCTTTAGCCTCAAACTTAATCTTGTTGTGTTCATAACCATGTAAGGGCAAATTCAGATTTTTGTGCTGGTAATATACAAGGGAGAGGCGACAAGGTAAAAGTCGGTTGGGGTGGATCAAAGCAGTGGTGGCATGAAGCTCTCGCCTTGCACACTCAATCAAAATGGAGCCATGTGTGGGTGCTATTGCCACACCCCCAATATTGGGATCCAAGAAGATGGGCTCATTGTCTGACCAATATTCCTCGATGTCGGGCAGGTTCTCTTCATCAGCTGACAGGTCTTCAGATAGGAGAGACTCATCTGGTTCAGAATGCAGCTCATCTTCTACTACAGGACGGGAAGTGACTAATGGCAGCAGCTGGTTGGGTTGACTAGAAGTTAGCTGCTCAGCTGGACCTGTGGGAGGCTCAGAATAAGCAAGGGTATTGGCTATGGAAAGGAGGGGGGAGCACTTGTCCAGGCTGTGAGATTCCAGTCCATCCCCCAGCAGCCCTAGTAGCTTCTTTCACTGGGTGAGGAATGGATGGAATGGAAGAATACCCTTTAGGGTTGTCTGAATAACTCCAGCTATCAGCAAAAAGCTGCAAATGGAAATGTGGCTCAAGTGGTAGGGCACCAGATGAGGGAAGGTGCAGTGAGGCCAATAGGACCACAACATTTACAATCTCTCTGGATGTACGGTCTAGCACATGTTAGGCAAGTATTCTACCATTTAGTGACACTATCAACCCTAAGCCCTTCAAGAATTCTTGTCCTGGGAAGCAATCAGAAGTCAATGCAAAGTTTTAAATAAAATTATTATTGTTCATTGCTTAAAAGAACAAAATACTAAAAGTGATCTAAAGATATTTAGATCTTGTATGATCTCATTTTGAAAAAGAAAAAACAGTTCCTTTGTTAACTGGACACGGTGGCTCAGGATTCTAACTGGCTTCTTTGGAGACAACGATTATGGGACAGGATAGCAGTTATGCAAGCTGGGCATTAAGACTTAAGACTGCATCTCAATCGATGGTTGACTGTCATCATAGTGACACAGAAGAAGATCACAGTCTAGGGTGGCCTAGGCCTACAGAACGATCCCAAAACCAACCAACACACTGGAAGACTCACTGAAGTGTTAGAAAACATGCTTAGCAATCCTGAGTTTAAACAAAACAAAAAGTTCCAAATTTGGGGGAGGGAGGATACATAAGATAAGAACAACAAATTGCAGAGAGTAAAGGAGTGAGCTTTGGAAAGGAGACAACAGTCCATCTGAGTAAGCTTCAGTAGCTCCAAGTCTGACTCAAACAGGGGACATGACTTTATAAAAACCTTCAAGAGAACAGCACTGTGTACCGTGTAACGAGACCAATTGAAACAGATAAGTAAAGGGAAGGAAGATGTTAAACAACAACAAACATGCCTGTTACTGGGGACTGAAGTACTTGAGCTATGACTCTAACCAGAGTCTCATTAGCTGTGCCTGGGTTGGCAATGACATAGGCATGTAACTCTGCGTCTTAGTATAAGATTTTCTAAGGCAAGCCTCAGTAGCTCACGCCTATAATCCTAGCTACTCAGAAGGCTGAAATCTGAGGATATGATTCAAAGCCAGATAGGGCAGGGAAGACCCTGAGACTTTTTTTTTTTTTTGGGGGGGGGTGTCAGTCATTGGGGCCTGAACTCTGGGCCTGGGCGCTGTCCTTCAACTCTTCTGCTTAGGGCTAGCGCTCTAACCCTTAAGCCACAGCACCACTTCCAGCTTTTTCTGCTTACGTGGTGCCAAGGAATCGAACCCAGGGCTTCATGCTTGCAAGGCAAACATTCTACCACTGAGCCACCTTCCCAGCCCCATCCCTGAGACTCTTATCTCCAATTAACCACCAGAAAAATGGAAGTGGCACAGTGGCTCAATTGGTAGAGCTCTCACCTTGAGCAGAAGAGCTCAGTGACAGCACCCAGACCCAGAGTTTAAGCCCCAAACCAACAAAAAAGAAAAAGAAAAAGAAAAAACAATATTTTTTAAAAGAGCAATGAATTTGATTGACCTTGCTGAATGTATTTTTTAAGTCTCATGGGTAAACTTAAAAAAAAACTTTTTTCTTTTGTCAGTGGTGGGGCTTGAACTCAAGGCCTAGGCACTGTCCCTGAGCTCTTTTGATCAAGGTTAGCACTCTACCACTTTGAGCTATCGCTCCACTTCCAGTTTTTTGAGTGGTTAATTAGAGGTAAGAGTCTCACAGGGACTTTACTGCCTAGACTGGTTTTGAACTGCCATTCTCAGATCTCAGCCTCCTGAGTAGCTAGGATTATAGGCATGAGCCACTGGTGCCCAACTTTATGGGTAAACTTTTAAATCTGTAGGAAAAACATGATGCATACAGTTTCTAATATCAAGCATCATATATAAGGATGACTGTGAAATAATATAAGAAGCTAAAAACCAACAACCAGTGATAGGGGATGTAGTTCAGTAGAAGGGAGCTTGTCTAGCGTATTAACTTGAATGTGCTGGGTTTGATATCTAGGACCAAAAATAAAAAATTTTTAAAAATGAACAATTAGCATACATATAAGGATATCAATTAGAAATGGCACAAAATGCCTGAATTATTGCTTCTTCTAAAAACTGCTTTATATGTATAAAAGTGAGAAGAACTAAGGCCTACCTGGCATATTTCTTTTCTTTTTTTTTTTTGAATATTGGGAATTCTTCTTAAGTGTTAACCACATACTGTATCCCTGAGCTACATTCTCAGTACTAACCTGTAATTCTAAATTTGGAAATCAGTATAAATCCATGATGTATTCTTTTTTTTTCTTTAGACTCCTCAGAGAAATGGATGATTTTAGATATGGGGCAGCATTATATAAGCCTAGAACATTCTGCTGTTTAAAAGAATTAGGACTGTGACAATAAAAAAAGAAACCAGGTGTAAGGGGTTTCTACAATTTAGATTGGGGTCAAAAATAAATACGCACTGACAATACATAAAAAAGTAAATATGCACTATGTGAGAACATTTCTGAGACTAAAATCATACTAAATTTCAGAAAGTAAGATGCTAAGAAACTAACTAGTATTTTGAGAACTGAAAAATAAGCACAAATGATTAAGCATGTAAGAGAAAAGAAAAATTGTTCAATTCACTAACAGACAAAAGAAATGACAAAATTTGTTGTAATGAAATTAACAACATAGAGAGTAAGATGTTTCTTGAATCATTACATAAGGGTTGATGTGTTTATATATAATCAATGAATCAGACTGACAACGCCTGACCCAGGAATCAGTATTAACATCACAAAAAATAAGCACAAAGCAGAATCAGACATTAGGTGATACTAGACATGAAATGTGTAAATTAGGTATTAGTCCCTCTCTGGTATTAAAAATATGACATTAATTCTCCTCTAGCAACAACAGAAGAGAACCAATAACAGACAGAAAGAAATCCAGGACAATGATTTCTTCAATTGTTCAAATGGGGCAAGACAAGGGATTAGAGAGTTTTAAGTTAGAAACATAACTAAATATAATGTCTGAGGTTTTCTTAAGATGCTCCAAAAATTAAAATAAAAAATACTTATCAGAAAAATAGGACAAGGGCTGGGAAGGTGGCTCAGTGGTAGAGTGCTTGCCTTGCATGCTCAAGGCCCTGGGTTCGATTCCTCAGCACCACATAAGCAAAAAGAAGAAAGCCGGAAGTGGCGCTGTGGCTCAAGTGGTAGAGCGCTAGCCTTGAGCTGAAGAGCTGAGGGACAGTGCCCAGGCCCAGAGTTCAGGCCCCACGACTGGACCAAAAAAAAAATAGGACAATTGTTGTGTGGTATTGGGAATCAAACCCAGGGCTTCCTGCATGCTAGACAAGCGCTTCATCACCGAGTACTCTACTACTTAGTCCTACAGTTTTTGAACATTTGGGATTACAACCCCCATTTGATACGTTGGTATTTATCTTCTTCTAAGTATTATGACTATGAAAACTTATTTGAGCAAATACTTGTTTTCTAAGTATTATGAGTGAAAACTTGTTTATTACAGCATGGCTATAATTACATGGCTAGGAAGGAAAAAGAAATAAATGAGTTATAAATAAATAAATAAGTAAATAATTTCTAGAACTAATCCTTTTAGAACCAACCCAAAGAAATCCATTCTTCCAGTCCTTCATTAATTCACTTCATCTACTTTCCATTATGAATCAAGAAGAGTCAGAGTTAATTTTTTATACCTAATCATGATAAATTGGTGTGTCTGGGTATTTCGATACTGGGGTTTGAACTCAGAACCTCGAGGCTAGGTGGTACTCTATCAATCTTTTTTTTTTTTTT